CTGCTGGACGTGCGCTTCCAGCAGATCAGCAGCGTCCGCGACCGCCGCCGCGCGGTGCTTCTGGACCTGGGCTTCTCAGGTGGGCGGGGCGGGGCCCGGCGGGGGCGGGGCTGGCGGAGGGCCCTGGGCGGGGCAGGGCCCTCTAGAAGCCTTTAAGAGCCCCGGGGGCGGGGCCTGCTGGGGGCCGGATTCTGGCGGTGGGGTCGGGACCCGTCCAGGGCGGTGTGCCAGCTCTGTTAGAGCCCGTGTTTCCCTGCTGAGTTGGAGCCGAAGGGGGTGCTGCCCAGCGGAGGGCACACAGGCGGCCCTGGTAGGCGGGTTGTGCCGGCAGGCTGACCCGCGGCCGCCCGCAGGGCTCTGGTCCTTCCTCTGGTTCGTGGGCTTCTGCTTCCTTACCAACCAGTGGCAGCGCACGGCGCCCGGGCCTGGCACCACGCAGGCGGCAGACGCTGCCCGGGCGGCCATCGCCTTCAGCTTCTTCTCCATCCTCAGCTGGGTGAGTGTGCTGGTGGGCGCTGGGTGCACAGGGCAGGGTGGGGTGGCCTTGCCTGACCCCTGGCTCCCCTTCAGGTGGCGCTCACCGTGAAGGCCCTGCAGCGGTTCCGCCTGGGCACCGACATGTCACTCTTTGCCACCGAACAGCTGGGTGCCGGGGCTGGCCAGGCCTACCCGGGCTACCCGGTGGGCAGCGGCGTGGAGGGCACCGAGACCTACCAGAGCCCGCCCTTCACCGAGACCCTGGACACCAGCCCCAAAGGGTACCAGGTGCCTGCCTACTAGAGGTGGGCAGCCCTGGCCCAGGGCACAGAGGCCGCCTGGGACTTCTCTCAGGACCTCCTGGCCAAGGGGGAGCGGCGGTGACCACGGCCGGCTGTCTGGGGCTGAAAAGAGGCAGTGCCCAAGGAGCCTGGGCTGTCGAGCCAAGTTCCCCTTAGCCCCAGTCCTGGCCTGAGGGCCTGAGGCGAGCACAGCTCAGCCCTAGACAAGCGTCCAGCCCCCAGCGGGTCAGTCTGAGCAGGGGGTGTGCCCTCACCACGCAGCAGCCCAGGCTCACCTGTCCACACGGGGCAGGGGCCCAGCTGCCCTGACAGAGGCAGGGCCCACCCAGACCCTTGCTGGTGGCCAGGAAGTGTGGTCTCTGCGCGCACCCGTGTCCAGTGGGCGGCGGCTGCCTGGCTGTTGTCCCGGTGGTCTGTCCCTAGGCCGTGGCATCCAGCGGCCCTGCCCCTCCAGCTTGTCAGTAGCCAGGCTGTCATGTGTGCTTGTGCCAAGTCCAGCCTCGCCCTGTAGCCCCCACAAGCAGCCCCTGTGTGTGGCCCCCGCCGCAGCACCCACGTCCTGGCCGGTGCCGGTGCTCCCGAGACCCCCTCCGGAGACCCTGCCGGGAGGCACAGGACGCGGTGGGAGGGGCTCGCCTGCCCGCAGGGCGCGCCCATTCCACGCTGGCCCGTCCGGGCGCCTGGCCGGG